ACAGTTAGAAAAATATTCCATAATTACCATTTTACGCTTATATTATTTATTATTTTGAAAATAGAACAAGTTACTTGTATAATAATAAGTATAATTTATGATATTATTTATTTGCTTAAAATAAATTATCGTTATTATATAGCTAATTTTCATATAAACTCCGTGATATCACAAAATATTAAAAAACAAGATCGTCTACATCATACTGGTGAGCACGATAATAGCAGATATAAGTATTATGAAATTATATCCAGACATTCTTATAATTGATTTTAAAATAATATCCGCAGCTATAATAATCAATATTATTAAATTTGTAAGTAATTACGGAAATATTCGATTTGATTTAATTTAAAAATGCGAACAATTTTTCTCGTGTTTTTTTTTTTTTTTTTTTTTTATTATTATTATTATTATTATTATTAATTACTATTTAGTAACATTTAATTTATATAAATAAAAAAAAAATTTTTTTCAACTACTCGGAAGAATTTAAATGCGTAATAAATATAGAATTCAAAAATTGTGTAAAAATACTATTTCTAAAAATCATACACGTCTTTGGCACATGATCACAAAGTGAATTGTATCACAACCTCTTTTTTAGTTAAAAGATTTTGATTAATGAGTATTTCGGACAAACATGCATCCAAATGCATCTAATCCCATTCTTTTCATTTCGAATTTTTTACTATAGAAAAAAATATTCGAATCATCAAAATCTAATCACCGATCACGTTATATTGCCTTAGAACTCTTGTGGCAACTAAAAAAATTTTGTGATCAGTCAAAATTGAAACATAATTTTTTTTTTTTTTCAAACCATAACTATGCTATATTCAACTGACGAATGTCAAGAATGTCAAATACAACAAGAAAATGAAATTTTGGCTCTCGAGGTAAACTAAAGTATTTATCAATAAAAGTTTGTAAATATAGTGTTTGGTTGTGCTCAATGTATCACGTTCCTATAAACTTCTATATTGTAACAGGCAATTTATCCTCAAGATTTCACATACACAGAGAACCATGGAAATTCTCCACGTTACCAAGGATCTCTCACGATTCGAATATCAACTCCACATGAAATTATGATATATTTTATTGGCGGTAAAAATTCAACTAGTGATCTGCCACTTAAAGTTCGACATTTACCACCAGTTAAAATCATATTTTCGATGCCAAGAGATTACCCTATCGAAGAGTCCTTACATTTTGAACTTGAATGTTGTTGGATGCGATGTGAATGGATAAGGTTATTGGAAGAAGAACTTTTAAAAATTTGGGAGGAAGAGAAAGATGTGGTATGTCTTTAAATGAAATATATTTGAAATGTTTAAAGGTTTAAAAAAAAATTGAGATTTATATTATAAATTTACTTTATAGATTCTATTTCATTTTGCTGAGTTCTTACAAAACAAGGCTTTAGATTATTTGCAATTATCATTCCCTTTGAGACTATATGATGGTTTGTAATTGAATTCATTTATAGAATCATCTTTCAAATTTATTTTTTTTTTTTCCTCAAAAATTTCGTAATATTACTTATTAGATAACATTGGTCAAACAACACTTAAAACTTTAATACTTACTTACGATCAACAGGCCAAGAATCAAGATTTCATCAATGATCATTTTACTTGTGGGATTTGTCTTGAAGAAAAACATGGTGATAAATGTTATCGAATTAATTCATGTCAACATGTATTTTGTCAAATATGTCTTCGTGAATATTTTGAAATCCTAATTCGAGAAGGATCTGTAATACAAGTCAAATGTCCCGATCCTGGTTGCAAGTTACAAAATAAATTAACTAAGGAAGAAATGTCAGAAATCGTCGGTCCTGAAATGTCACAAAGGTACGTCGATCTATTAGAAAAACAAAAATTAGAGACGGATCCTTTGGTGACTTATTGTCCTCGTAAAGTGTGTCAGGCACCTGTGAAAAAAGATCCATCTGTTGAGAAATTATGTGTTTGTACAAAATGCACATTTGCCTTTTGTTGGTTTTGTCAACGAACTTGGTACGTTTGTTTTACGTATTTAAATTTTTTTTTTTCCTTTTAAAAAAGAATTAATTATAAATTTATATTTTTTACTACCAAATGATAAATAGGCATGGAGTTGGTGTGCCATGTGCGATAAGCAATATCAAAAAAGTTGTTCAAGAATATATGACAGCTGATCAAGCTACCAAATCTATGTTAGAACTTCGTTATGGAACGAAGAATATAGAGAAGTTGGTCAAAGATGCTCAAGAAGAATTGGAAACTGATAAATGGAAAAAGTCAAACACTCAAAATTGTCCACAATGCGAAACTGCTATTGAGAAATCCATGGGATGCAATCATATGTTATGTACGCGTTGTCAAACACACTTTTGTTATCTATGTGGAAACTGGATAGATCCTAAGGAACCTTATCGTCATTTTAATAATGCTAACACTTCTTGTAACCAACGATTATTTGATGGAGTGAATATTGATGAATTTGAATTAGCGGATGATTTTATTCTTGTTTAATTAATATTAATGTGTATGAGTAGTAAACATTTTCATTTAGACATCATTTTGGGATATGTTTTTATAATTCTAATATCTGAAACCTTTGCATTTAATTTATTTCAAAAAATGATTTATTTTTCTTTAGCTAGTTACATTTAAGACATTGGTCACATAATAAGTGACTTAAATAAAAATAGCCAAACAATTTTAATTTCACTCACTCAATAACGACTTTTCCCCCAACCCATGATACAAATACCAATGTACCGGTGAAGTATAAAGCTGCGGTAGAATTCCATATAATGTTCCAGTTTCTTTCCGTAGCATCTAGAATCCATCCGGTTATTGCTACACCTATGATGCCTGGAATCACTCCGAGCGAATTTCCAAGACCGTAAATTACGCCACTGTACCGCGGTGCGATATCCAACTTTTCACGTAATTAAAAGAATATTATTATTATTATTATTAAAGAGAAAATCTAGTGAAATTTATGCTAAATTATTTACCTGAGAAACTGAAATGCCTGCACATGTAAAGGAATACAACCCGAATCCTATTGCCAAAAAAATAATTCCTTCTAATGGAGTCTGCGCTACATATACCGCCTATTTAGAATATAAATATGTCATTAAATATAAATATAAGTAAGAATAAAAAATATATCTTTTTCACTTACTAATAAAAGGAATATGGCAATTCCGCAACCACCAATCATTTGAGCCATTCGTCTCACGATGATAACACGAACTTGAACTTTATGTATAAGATAATCGGCAAGTGTTCCAACAAAAAATCCAGTTATTCCTTGGATAACATAAGGAAGAACTAACAAAGGTATCATGTGTAAAAATATAATAATGATTACTTATATTATAATTAAATGTAACACTATACCTGCGAAATACCCCAAATGTTTTATATCAACTCGAAACCGATCCAAGTAATAAGTAGGAAGCCATGTAAAAAATATGAAGAACCCCCAAGAGTTACAAAAATATGCAACTTTAAAATTGAATGATCTCAATCAGTGGGTAAAAAATACATCAAAAAATAACTTGAAAGTTCCTTTCCGTTTTTGCCAAGTGCCTTGACAAGAAAAAAATTTTACCAAGTATAGCCCATACTTCCCGTCTAGATAAAATTAATCTCCATGGGATTTGTGAAGGATTTGAAGTTTTTATAGATGAAAGAGGTTCATCACCTTCATTTGAAATTAAATTAACATCATCTTCGATAATTTCATTATTTTCAACATCAACATCTTCACTATCCATTATTTCTTCTTCACTATTAGATTCTAGTATACTATAATCTAAACTAGATCTTTTATGATTAGTTTTCAAAATCAAATCCAATTCTTCACTTGAAATTCCTTTATAAGTACTCGGGCTGCTTCCACCATAAATTTGCCATAACAATGACCAAACAATCCCAACAGATCCAAACACCCAAAAAATACTCTCCCATCCCCAAGGACTAGATCCTAACCATGTGGCTACAGGTAAAGAAACTACGGTACCAATAACATTTGAAGTTGTTATGATTGCAACGGCTTGAGAACGTTCTTCCAGTGGAGCCCAAGACGCGACTAAAGAATGAACGGTTGGAAAACAAAAACCTTCGCTAACGCCAAGTAAAATTCGGCATAACACAAGGTAGTTAAAACCCAACTTTGCGGCAATAGGTGTGACCAAAGTAAAGATTGTCCAACCAGCAGCGGCTGATAAAAAAAAGGGGATAGGTTTCGTTTATCGACTTTATTTCTTATCCGTAAAAACCTGGGATCATAGAATCTTTTCCAACCACCCAATATAATGAAAGTCAGGTCGGTACAGATCATTTAGTGCTTAATGACCTTCAAATGTACACCCTTCAGATTACTTACCAGCTCCAAGCACCCGTTTGCCGCCAAATCTATCCGCAAGTACACCTCCCAAAATTTGTGTCGTCAGGTAACCAACAAAAAACGAAGATAATATTAGACCTTGAGTCGTGGAAGACCAGCCAAATTCTTTGGACATATAAACTATAGCAACAGCTATATTCGACCGATCTTTGGAAGTATCGAAGTCGAATTTAGTACTTAAAAGAGATATTTATATTATCAAGATAAAAAATATCCGGATTAACCTGCATAACTAATTAAAATAGCAAGAGAACAAAGGCCAAGTACTATAAGCCGCTTAGGAATATATAAATTCTGCCATATTTGCCACACGTTCATATTTTTTTTTAAAAAAAAATTCTTTGAAATTTTTTTTAAGTTACCGACTGTATTAATACAGTACAACAAACATCAATGCATGTGATGTCAAACTTGAAAATTGGATTTTGATTGGCTAATTTTGAGTGCATCCCAATCTTCAAGTTTTTCTACACAGTGCTCAAAATAAATACCGTTCGTTTTTTTCTGATTTTTTGATTTTTGTTATAATGGAAAAAGAAAAGCGCGTAAAATTGGAGGAACGTAGTGGAGAGCTTAGCCCTATTAAAACTCCTAATGATAGAAATTCAGGCGAGGATTGTTCAAAGAAACGTAATTATTTTAATAACCATAATCGAATAGCTTTTTCTCCAAAGTTTGTTGATATAGCTTCATAATATACTTCAATTTAGGGCATTACGCTGCTTCTACGTCGACGAATCTCACCTTTTCAGATAAGAAATTCGGATATGGACCACCATTTCTTTTCTCGCTTCCTGAACCCGTTAAAAGTCCTTGGAAACGTTTAAATTCCCCTAATTTTGGGAAGTTGGGCGCACGAATGATATCCGGGAATGCCTTAAAAAGAAGAGAGGATAAAAGAAAGCATACCCAACCTTTTTCTAATGAAAATATGCAATTCACATTTCACAAGGAAGTTACAGATGATGCCAAAAATAGCAATGATAAGAAGGTAACATTATAAAAAATATGATCATAATTATTCTTAAAGACCACCATTATTAATGATTGCAATATTAAAAATTTAAAGTTAGAAGTTCGTTCGGGACACGATTTTTTCCGCCATATAAATATGTAAGGAAATTGACATAATATAGGAAATTGTTAATGGATAGGTTGATAGTTACTTAACTGCTCATTTTATAATTTAGAGTTCTTGATATGACACCAAAAATTTTCATTGTCGCACTCTTATATTATATATTGCAATTTTCTTGGACTATTCAACAAGCGATACAAATTAAAATGGACGAATATTCACAAGGTAAAATTGTTGGTGCAAAGGTATTTAAACATAAATAATTAATCATGTTACTTATTAACCATTTATTCAAATTCAAAGAAATACAAAGAATAATAACTGAATGTTCAAAAAGTTATCTTGAAAATCGATGTACACCAGGAGATCGAGTACCAGCATTGGAAGGTCCTTGTACTCAATGGGAGAAATATCCTTGAATCAAATTTTACCTAAATTGTCATTTTTAATTAATTTTTATTATTATCCGAACTACTAATCATGAAATGTTTACGTGTATGAATCGTGATCCAACAGTACTAGCAAGGTATTGAACAGTCAAAATTACATTTAGTTCACATGATTCATTATCAACAAAAATTGGAACTAATCAAATCTTTTACAATAGAGCAAAAATTTCCGCAGAGGTATTAGGTGAAATCATCAATAATTTGATGGAACAGTTTTCATATAAAACCATGGTACGACATTTCAAATTAATTCTCGAAAAGTTTGATTAATCCATCACTCATTAATAATGATGTCTCATTTCATAATGAAAGCTTTTTATGGTTGCAATTGTTCTAGCCATTTTTGTATCTCGAGCTTTGGTCGATATGATCAAGACACGCTTATTTAATAACCATTCCCTTCCAGAATCACCTCATCCTAGAATGCATTCAATACCTATTTCTCCTGAGCATATGACGCCAATACACCATATGTCACCAGGAAGTCCACAGACCCCTCAGCAAAACAATGTTGGAGTTTATTATGTGTTAAAACATTGACCTAGTGATTCGTCTTTTTTGTTTTATTTTCAATGCAAAAAATAAAATATAGAAAATTTAAAGATTAATAGATCTTTATGATAAATATCAATTTTGGAATTTCACGAGATTTCAACATTTTATGTGGATGAAAATTAAATCAATCAAATCGATAAACTATTTTTATTAAAGTTCTCAATAACTATATTATATTATAATTTCAGATTTCTTCCAGAAAATCATCAGGTCCATATCTATTAATTAATAAATAAGGAATTTCATTATTATTATTATTTCGATTTTTTAAGAAAATCTTTTAATACTTACGCTCCAATTCCTTGGGTATAAATTCCTAAACTTATACCACCAGCAACTTGAGAGACGGGATGATCAAATCTAGTAAAAAAAGCAAAAGTATAAAAGATTTGCCAATGATGTATATGAATTCTTGCAATTTTTCCAAAAGGTTGAACTTGCACTAGAGCTTCGGTATCAAGTTGTGACTGTTGATTCTCATTTTCTGATGGTATTCGTGGTCTTCGTTTAAAGATTCTTATAACATTTAAATAAGCTTTTGTTAAAAATCTCGTGTTTTGTTCTTGTTTAAAAATATAACCAAAGGTCATTAATATTAAAGGTATTATTAGACATCCTAAATACAAGGCTATAGGTATATTATCTTTTGAGCTAGATTCATTTTGATATATAATTAAATATATATGAAATCCTGCCATCAATAATACGGCAAAAACTGCAATGATGAATAATATCCACATTCGTACTGGCCAATTATTCCGTGTCAGTAATGATTGTTTCGCAAATGGAAGTTCTGCTAATAAGGCATATCCAAATAATGCGATATAAAATGATAAAATCATAATCCAGCTGTATTTATTTAAGTCGAGAAGAAATTTAAAAAAAAAAAAAAAAAGGTAATTATTTATATACACATTCATATTGTGAACTTACTTGAACGTTCTTGCATATCCACCAATAACAAATACGATAAACCCATATCTGACTAATGCCATCATATCACTAAAGAGGTTTGCGGGTGTTTTTTTATCTAATTCCCAATTAAAAATTCCTCCTACAATCCTATACAATGGATATGCAATTATAACAAATGCTACATTAAAATAAATATAAGGAAGAAGTTCAAAAGAAAAATTAATTGAACCGGCCGGAAATGGAGATTCCATATTAAAAAGTAAATCGTTAAAAAAGCTTTTTCTTTTTTCATATTTTTCTTTGGTGATAAAGATGTAAGATATGAAGAAATTTTCCTTATGCATGCGGTTAATCCTAATGTAATGTGAGGAATTTTCTCACGTGTAATTTCCGATAATGAATAGATTTGTTTTTCAGTTACGGCAACTTTCAAAACCGTTGACTTTTCATACATTATTATCCCAGGCCTTGCCACGGTTACAATATTCATTTTATTCAACAAGTAAAAAAATGGGAATACAAAAGTTAACTGGGGAAGAACGTAACTCGCTTCTTTCACCTTTGCTTGACAAATCCTCTTGGGAAATAGTACAAGATCGTGACGCAGTAAAGAAAACTTTTACTTTCAAGGATTTTAATGAAGCCTTTGGTTTCATGACTAGAGTTGCGTTAAGAGCCGATAAGGTTGACCATCATCCGGAATGGTTTAATGTAAATTCTTTTTTTATTCAATTTATATCTTTTAAGCAGACCTTATGATAATTCTAAATTCATCTATTTAAAGGTGTATAACCGCGTTGAAATAACTCTTACAACACACGAGTGTCAAGGTCTATCTCAAAGAGACTTGAATCTTGCTAAATTCATTGATAATTTATACAATACTTCTGCCAAATGATTTAATATCATGTAATTTGGGTTATTCTTTTAAATAATATATTATTATTAAAAAGTTCATTCCAAGTAATATTTATTAAAGAGTAATACAGTAAGGTATTATTCTCGATTCACCAACATATATAATCCAAGGAATCCAATTAATACATATTTAAGTTGAGGATAATCATTCATGAGAATTGTAATAATTCCAATGTATGGCAAGAACCTACCGAAAAAAAAAGGATTAAATGATTCAAAATCAAAAGATATTTATTTATATATAATAATAAATAATTAATTACCCTCTAACTTTTCCAATAATATGTTCTCTGTGAATCCAAAGTTGTCCTTTATTATATAATCCTCGATCATCCACTTGATTATTATCTCCTTTCGTTAGAATAAATTGTTTCTCTGATTCTTTCCTAAATTAAATATTAGATTTTTTTTTTCCCATTTTATTTTACAGTAATTGTTATAATAACTTACTCATCATGTAATTTTATGACACGATGTACAATTGGGACATCTCTTCCTGGTATCTTGAATACACATATATCACCAACTCTTAAAGGTTCATCTGGCATTCCCAAGAATAATAAATCTCCTCGATAGAATGCTGGTTCCATACTTCCACTATAATTTAATGATTTTAGTTATAATTAGATCAAATTTATTTAATTAAAAAATTTATGAAATTAATTTTTAGTACCTTAGAACTACTACGATAGGACTTTCACTATTTGTATAAAGAGCTAATGCTTTCCATACCATTAATGCAGATGAAATTATCATCAAGAAATTTAAAACTTGTTGCGCCAGCTGAGTATAAATTTTTATTAAAAGGTATCAATCAATTATGGTGGTGTTATTACGCATTTCACAGGCAATTTCATAAAATTTACCTGGCGCTTATTCATTTTTCGTAAAAATCGTATTTCTTCTTCAAACATTATGTCTTTATTTGCTTTATTAAATTTTGTTTTCTAAAAAGTTAAAGGAAAAATAATGAAAATGATTATCAATTATTATATTTTCTTTAAATTTTATATAATGATTTTCATCCAATCAAAATATGACTCGTTTTGTTTGTAACACTACTCGTTAAAGTATTAATTTTTTGAAAATTTTTTTTTTTTTTACAAACTTCAAGAAGGGAAATGGCAATTCTTTTTTTTTTTTAAGTAATTTCCATAAAAGGAAATATATTTAAATAGAATCAATTAATTATAACAGTTAGTGGAAATGTTATACAATTGAATTTTTTGTGAATTATATAATATTATAATGAAAAATTTTTTAGCATAACATTGTTTTAAGTATATATTAAGTATGTAAATTTTTTTTTTTTTTTTTAAATTATATGATACTATCATAAGTTTATTCTTTTTTAACCTAACTGAAATCCCTCTAGATCATTCTACTTTGATCATTTTATTGCATCTTGAAAGTCAAATCTAATCATCAAATACTAATATAAAAAAATTAAAAATTTTTATTAAAATATTTCTTGAATTAATTAAGAAGAAAAGCTTCTTTAAAGATTAGCAGAAATTATTCCTTTAGTCAAAAGAATGCAAAAATTGAGATTAATAAAAGAATCACATAATGTTAAATAGTTGCTATTACATTAATAAGTAATTGTATTAGTTTTCATTTTTCTTAGTTTATCAATAATTATGCTATTTAGAAAATTATACACTAATCTGCAAATGGCAGCAATATTATTTAATCAATTAGAATAGATCTAAAAATAATGATAATCTTTCTTGTTTATATAATAAAGGGCACATAATCAATTCTTATAAAGGTTTAGATAACTGGTTGATAACTTCTTTATTATTGGTAAATATTTTACATGAGATTTTATTTTAAAAGTCTTTTATTTCTATTTCTTTGAATGAAAGAAATAGCTACTAAGTATTATTATTATTAAAAGAAAAGATAGTAAAAAAGATAGGCTAGTTGATTGAAAAAAAATTTAATGGGTTAAATCAATAATAAAATTCTGTTAAAGTTAAGAAAATTATGAATTGGATGACAGTATTTAAATTTTTCTAAAATTTTCAAGTAAAAAACTTAACAGACACATTTCTGAAATTAAGATATAAATGTAAATTATTAAAGATAATATAAATCTAATGTAAGAGATGGTTTAAAATATTTTACTTTTGTTAAAGATCTGCTTTGTTATTATAAAAATTTTCTAAATATCTCTTAATTTTGATTAATTTGATTAAGAGTTATAGCTTTTTAATCACGTGATAGATTAATATTCAAATTGTATAATTTGGTATTCTTTTATAAGTTCTTATAGTAGCTGTTTCTTTTAAAATAAAATTATTGAATCTATTTATTACAGCTTGATTGTTTAAAAATATAATAGATAATAATTTAAAAGGATAAATTATGAGAGCAAAAAAAAAGCAAAAAATTCAGCTCTAGTTGTTAATGAAAAATTTAAGACAGCTACAGCAAATGAATTGAAAGAAGCTTAAAAAAAATTAGAGTAAATCTAATCAAGACCTATTTTACATTTTTTTAAGATTGAAACAATAAGCAATCTATTAGTATAAAATAGGTATAATAAAATATGTACAGGTGGTTGATTAATTTATTTATTACTTTTTTTTATTAATGTACAATTGGCTTAAGAGCTTACTAGAGAAATACTTATATTGCTAAGTAAATATTATTCTTGAAGTAATTCTTTAAAGTCTTTAATTCACAATTAAGAGATATGATAATCTAGCACTAGAAGTACATTTTCAATAATTTATCACCTAATATAGACTATCTATAACAATTTAATCTACCATCACAGACTCATTAGATCATATCACCTTTGAATAAAGGGTTTACTTCAACCATAAAGCTTATCATACTCTATTTTTACCAATCTAATTTATAGAGTTTATTCTATTGATAACTTCTAAGACTGTAATATCAGATTTTTTACATAGATAGTAGTTTTGTATCCATAATGTTAAATTTACCTGGAAAACTTCTATCCTTAATGATAGTTCAATTGGATAGTGTTGCAGCTTGTAACATAGTCTATTATCACTATAGCTTACCTAAAGAAGGTACTCAATTTACTAATTACTGATTAACCACTTCTTTATTTATATAAGGGCTCCTGAATTTGAAGATATAAGATGGTATCCATTACAGATCTATTAGTGAAGACCAAATTTCTATTGATCTCTAGCTTCATTTGTATATACATATTCTTCAAACCCAATATTTAGATATAATCAATATTGATTAATGAATTAATCGATCAGTTTCTAATGTATATTAGTATATATGCTCATATATTCAGGTGGCTGATTAATTTATCTTAATAGAGAATTTCATTAATACATTTTGTAATTAATTACTTATTCAAATATATTTGTATTATAAGTTATACAATCAATTTTTGATATAGTGAACTCTTGATATAATGAATTTTTTGAACAAATATAATAAAAATACTCTTATTATAGTAAATTTAACAATCAAATTTCTTAAAATCTTCACTATAGCTTTATAATGAAGTTGAGATTTAGGATATAGAGTTCATTATAATAAGAGTTAACTGTATAGAAAATCTATTTGATAATAGATCAACATTTTGATATGCTAGTTATTTAATAGAATATTTTCTTTTAATTAATATTAATATTAAATAATAGAGTTTACAGGTGTTTGTTTTATAATAAAAGTTGTCTTTTTATTAAAGCTTTTTTTTATAGCAATAGCTGTAAGAGCATTATATCTACTAATACAAATAATTAAAGATAAAAGGCTAAAGACTTTCTTCAATTTATATATAAAGCTTTGAACAATTTAAATTAATCTGAAAATTTTGTTCAATTTAGATTTTTTTTCAGATTATAAATCTAATTCAAAATTTCAGATAGTTCATTTCAAACAAATAATAAAAAAATCATTTATTTAGAACAATAATAATATAGTTCTAAATGAATGATAAAAAAATCATTCATTTGAAATAATAATATCAATTATTTTAAACAAATAATAAGAAAATCATTTGTTTAGAATAATATTAATATAATTTTAGATGAATAATAAGAAAATTGTTTAATTAGAACAATAATATCAATTATTTTAGATAAATGATAAGAAAATTATTTATTTAGAATGATAATAATATCATTTTAGACAAATAAATGATAAGAAAATTATTATTTAAAATGATTAAATTATTATTCTAAATAAACAATAAGAAAATCATTCATTTGAAATGATTGAATTATCATTACAAATGACTAATAAAAGAATCATTTATTTAAAATAATTGAAATTATTATTTTAAATAAATGATAAAAGAATCGTTAATTTTAAATGATAATAATTTTCTAAATAAATAATAAAAAATTATTCAATTAGAATGATTAAAATTATTGTTTTAAATAAACAATAAAAAAACTGTTTATTTAGAATGATTGAAATTATTGTTTTAAATGAATGATAAAAGAATCATTCATTTAGAATAATTAAAATTATCATTTTAAACAAATAATAAAAAATCATTCAATTAGAATAATTAAATTATTGTTTGTTTAGAACAATTGAAATTATTATTCTAAATGAATAATAAGAAAAGAGAAATGTATTTTATTGACCAGTCGATATGTCAACCCTCTATAACATCACAAATATACATGTATTAAATAATATATAAATAAAAACACGCTTATGCAATACCTAAATCAGATAAATTAGCTGAAAAATAGGAAGAATCTAAATGTATATTATATAATTAATATAGTATTTACAAAATCATTATTATGCAGTTTCTTTTGTTATTTTTACCATTACAATATTTTTTTTTGCAACCAAGGTACTATCATGCACTCTTACAACTATTCTTTATATTGTATTATCATAGTAATATTTTTTTCTACAACCAAGACATTATAATACACTCTTACAACTATTCTATCTCTATATTGTATTATCATCACAATATTTATTTTCTTATTTCTTATCTTTCAATTTCAGTAGAAACAGTTATAGAATATAAAGCCTTATAAATTCTAATGTTGAAAGTGATTCTGCAGGTCTTTCAAAAAAAGGATTTATGAGTTGGTCAATATGTGATCAATTTCTTATTAACTGAAGTAAAGCTAAAGGATTTAGAGTGATAAAAGATAAAGTTATTAGAAAAGGTAGGATTATTAAATGAAAGACATATATATGTGAACACAGAAGAAAATATACATCTAAATCTATAAAAGAATCAGTAGCAAAAAATAGTATGTTTATAGCATGTTAACGCTTTTTGTCTAAAAATAAATAATTCAAATTCTGTGATTTTTATCAATATAATTTTAAATAAATACAATTATGACCTAAACATTAAAACAGTTACATTTAGAAAAGATAAAAAGTTTACTGATGAAATAATAGATGATATTTAATTCTTGATATAGCATTATAAAATGAGAGTAACCACACAAAGGAGATACTTAAAAGACAAATATCCTTTATATACATTCTTCAATAAAGATATATATGTATCAATCAAAAAATTTTGATCACAGAAAGATCACTTTTAAATGATATTACACAAGATTCTAAATAGATTGTGATATGAAGATGGGATAATGATAATATATTAACACATTTGATATAAATAATACTAGAATAAATAGAAAATTGGATTCAGTTCAGCAATTGCGTTATAAACGATATTATGCATAAATAAACTGGTATAGAATGGCATTATCTTTTTTTGTAAAGTTCAATTGAAATATGCAAAATATTATTTTTGCATAAGATCTAATTGTAGATAAAAACAAATAATCTCATTCTTGGATATTTAGATAGATTGTTGAAGCTATCAGTATTTATCTAACTGTAATTATAATAGACGTAGATCTAACTGTTGACGTAGCAGTTAAGGAGGTATTTATAGACACAAATCCAATTTATTGTATAT